TGTCACCAGGAAGTGGCACTTTTTGAAAGGATTAAAACGACTAGGAAAAAATTAGTGGCCTTGTTGGAGGAAGTGTGTCCCTGGTGGTGGATTTTGAGGTTTCAAAAGTCCATGCCAAACCCACAGTCAGTAAGTCTGTCTGTCTGTCTGTCTCCCTGTCTCTGCCTATGGATCATGATGTAGCTCTCAGCTACTGCTCCAGCACCTGCCTGCACACAGCCGTGCTTGCTATGATGACAATGGACTAACCCTCTGAAACTGTAAGCCAGCCCCTAGTTAAATGCTTTCTTTTCTAGGAGCTGCCTTGGTCTCAGTGTCACAGCAACAGAATGGTGACTAGGATGCTATCCTTATTAATATCTTTATTTATGAAAAATTTAAAACATGCACATATTAGAAGTACATTATGAACCAGCTTCAATAGTGCACAACATCCCCCATCTTTTGTTGTCCCTCCCTCCCGCTCGCCTCACATACAAGCACTTTTTTTCTGGAGTATTTTAAGGTCAATGATTTCTCTTTACTTACAATTTTTTCCTAAAAATGGCTAATATATAATAACTTCCTTACAAATACTCAGGATCACTGAAGTGTGAGCCTACCTAACAATTTTTAAAGCATATTTTAAGTTAGTTGATGTATCTAGCAAGTACTCACAGCAACAGAGCCACTAAGCTTTGAGAACGGATAGGGTTTGATGTGATCTAAATTAGCTAAAAATTAAAAGTAATTAATTCACTGAACAACGATGATTTTTTTTACCTTTATTATTCATTTGGGGGTCTCAGAAGCTAAACAAGGTCTGTCCTTGCACCTGGTTGGTTAAAGACTTTATTTCACATTCAGTCTCTCTTCTCTCCTCAAGCAATTTACTGCTCTGCTAAGCTTTCCCCACATCCTGAATTTGGCCTAGCCATGTTCTTATAGGAGGTTCTTGTTCATCCATTCCCCCTCTCTCCAACTGCCTGGCAGGAGGGTCTAGAAGCTTAGCTAGAACTAGGTCTGGTCTTTTGTTTATGGGCTCTCAGGGGTGTTGTGGGGTGCATCAAGTGAGATCTGTAATCCCTGCTTCATATAAGCAGTGAATATGTACAGTGTTAGGTTTCAGCATGGTATCCTTGTTTTTTTTTTTTTTTTATTGCTTCTTGTAATATTACCTCTCAAAGACAGAATTCCCCTCACTGAATAAAATTTGAAGATGCCCAGGCTGGTGAAAGACACTCATGGACCAATAATAAAAAGTATGAAATGTTTATTACCTTCATGAAGGAGCTTCCTGAGAGAGCTCAGCAGACCTCAAGCCTTTATACACCAGTAGTTTTTTCTATATTAGCTCTTTTATAAGTCTCCATTATTTAGCTACTACTGCATAACAAGTAGTGGTTTAAAACAGTGGGTATTGATTTTCCTCACAGTTCCCGTCTTAAGAATTTGGATGGGACACACCTGAATGCCTCCTATCTGGGCCCCTCTAGTGCAGCTCCAGGCACGCCATTGCCTGACTCAACTCTGTCTAGACGCTACCTACAGCTCATTCAACTGCTGCCAGCAGGCCTCAGAAGACCCATTTTTAAGCACATCCACACCATTGCTGCAGGCCTAGTTCACAGTTCACGGTACGGTTCTCTATGTAGGTTTCTGGACTACCCAACGATATGGCAGACAGTGATCTGAGAGAGAAAGAGGCAGAAGTACCAAGACAGACCTGTAGAATAGGACCCCACCACTCAGACCATACTGTGTTCTCCAGAAGGGCCTAAGCATAGTGTGTATTCAAAGGAAGAGATGATTCAAATATACAAATGCCAGGGGACAGATGGTACAGACTTATGTCTTATAGGCTTTCTGTAATAATCCACTTTCTCTTCCTTTATCCTGACTGGTCAGTTTGATGCCTGCCTATGATATGTACCGTACTCGCTCTTATTCTCCTCCTTGCTTTCTCTTTTCCCCTTCCAGCCTTACATTCCATTCTTTTCACTGTCTCAGAAAACGTTTGGATACTTCGCCTTGTGTCCCCAACTTCATTTCACTTTTAGCTGAACAGCCGAACACAAGAAATATCCATTGTCAGTCTTTTGGCTGAAATTCTTCAGTTCCTTGACTGGATGAAGCTTGTTTTCTAGTAGATTCCTCAGGAAGGGGTGATGGCTTATCTCAGTCATCAACCCGCACTCTGCTGTGCATACCTGTCAGGGATTTTCCTCACCAGATTATCTGAAGCAGGAAAACCCACCCTACACCTAGGTCACACCTTCTGGTGGCAGTCCTCATCAAAGGACATGGAAGAATGAAGCTTTGCCTTTTGACTGCTTGCCTTCACTCTCATTGGCAAGTCCGTCTGTACCATTGTGGCATTGCTTCTTGGGTATTAGAACCTACTTTTAACATAGACTGAAGATAGCAGCTTTCTAGGACCCCAGCACCTAGTCAAGACTGCTGAGACATCCAGCCTTGTGAACTGAACAGCTATCGGATTCTTGGCCTTCCTGTTGTGAGAGCCATTGCTGGTTTACCCAGACTACATCCTGTAAGCCAGCCTAATCAATCTCCTTCGTGTGTGTGTGGGGGGGGGGGTGGGGGGAGTGTTCATTCCATTGGTTCTGTTATTTTAGAGAACCCTGACAAATACAGAAGAGATCTTGCCTGCTGTCTTCCCTGGGTTTTTCCATGATCAAATGTATTTCTGTAACCTCAATAACTTAAGAACTTAACTTAATCCCTGGCTTGCTTCTTAAAAACCGTGAGAGGCTTCTATGGTTGTTGACCACTCTGAACTGTACAGCGCTTGCTCTGAGCTCTGGGCTCCCAAGCAGCCATCTGCATCCACCTGCCATACTGATGTTCTAGCAGAACCTCACCTGCCCTGAAGAGCTGCTCTCTGACATTTACAAGGTCCAGGAGACTTCTGGCTGAGTGCACCTACAGATAGAGATATTTGGGGACAGAAGGAAGCATAGTAGAAAGGCTTCCACCAAAGGCCCAAGCCCGGTCGTACAAAAAGCACAGAACTGGGTCGTGTTTGTTGATATTCTCACAAACCATCCCTTAACAGAAACCAATGCCATGGAAGAAATATATAATGATTGCATGATATCACTCAAAGGCAAACTTGAAGGACAGAGACCAGAAAGAAGTAAACCTCTTTTGACAGGGGCTGCAGAAGTTCAACAACTGTCAGTTTTTTATTGGTGAAAATATGAACCCAGGCAGCACAGCTGCAGTCCTGGACAGCAATGAGAATGCTTGACCCCATCTGTGATTTCCTCCAAGAGGGGCTGAGAGCGGGAAAGATGCTAACGAGTTGACCAATTACCTTGCATCTATCACCTGTCATCATAAACGGCTGCTGCCTGTCAGCCCCACACTGCCAGGGCATAAGACAAATGTGACTGATGTCATTTTGGGCTCTTTATATATTTTTACTATGATTTGTTTAGAGCAGAGCCATTGTGTTTATGGTTTGTTTCTAAAAGAGCATGACATGTAGGCAGTGTGAAAGTGTATTCAAACTAGGAAAAATTGGGGTGAAGTGATGTCACACTGTTGCCTTAGTAAGTCAGTCTAAAAAGTCTAGGGACTACTGGGTCTGCACAAGCTGGCTCCGGGAGAAAATGAGCCCGACCAGGTGGGTTCATCTGGACCCGAAGGAGCAGGTGAACTGCATCAAAGAACTGGGTGACCATAGAACCAACTTGCACAAGATAGGAGCCCCCAAATCTGGTATGGCAGAGTATTACCTTGTGACACAGTGATCATAAGAGCTACGCTGACTATCTCAAAGCCATAAAGACACACAGAGAGACATCCTAGCATGTAGATTTACGAGAAACTTATTTATGAATATAAAATTTAAATGTTTTCCATAAAGCATTTTTCTTCGTTTTCTACCTCTTGTTTCCTGCTGCTTGTATTTTCTTTTTGTCTCTGCCCAGCTGTGAAGATGGGATGCCCCATGTTTAATCTGTTTGGAGGGTTGACTGTCATGAGGCAAATCTTTGGACTTAGTGGATCAAGTAGTAGAGATAACAGGTCTTTAGTGAGCAGTGCCTGTGTGTTGTATTTGGAAGTCAAACATGGCAAATTGAGGGAATGGCTAGTGTGTTCGTGCATGTCTTCCTGAGCAGAAAAACCCACAGTTGGCCTAAAATGAATTCTTGACCTTGAGATAGGAATGCATCTAGTCACGTGGAATGCAATTCCTTGTTTAATGTGTTTTTGTTCCAAACATTCGCTGTGGCTTTGAAGATGATTTTCTTAGCCTTCTCATATGTGAAAAAACTTAATTAATGTAGAACAATGAACTAGAGAGATGACTCAGTGGGTTAGATCACTGATTGCTCTTCTATTGGACTCGAGTTCAATTCCCAGTACCTACATGGTGGCTTATAACCATCTGTAACTCCAGTTCGAGGGGATTCAATGCCCTTTTTATTTTTGGCTTATGTGGGTATCTGCATGTATATAATGCACAGATATACATCCAGGCCAAGCACCATACATGTTAAATTGTATGACCTATATTCAGGAAGTTGTCATAGTAACTCCTTCAACCTTTAAGATACCACCCCATGTTAGATGCCATTTATAAGTGGAGACTGTGCATTCATTTTCCAGCCTTCCAGACCCAAATAATCACACAGAAACTATATTAATTACAACACTCTTTGGCCAATAGCTTAGACATATTCCTATCTAGCGCTTACATCTTAAATTAACCCATTTCTATGAATCTGTATATCACCATGGGGCTGTGGCCTGCTGGTAAGGTTTCCAGTGTCTTTCTCCTTCAGCAGCTACACAGCATCTCCTTGACTCCACCTATTCTCTCTCTATATCTCTGTTCAGATTTCCCACCTGGCTTTATTCTGCCCTGTCATAGGACAGAGCAGCTTCTTTATTAACCAATGGTAATAAAACACATTCATAGCATACAGAGGGGAATCCCACACCAGGAAGTAACTGATATCTGCTGTATATCCACCCCTTCTTATCCTTAGGTGAACAAAGAAGATATCTGAAAATGACAAGTAAAAGTCTTGAGGAATCCATGGGGGCTGTGCAGAGGGGGCTGGCCAAAGTGATCACAGGATTGCAGAGCAAAGTCTTGCCACCCATGAGCCCAAAGGTGGTCACAGAGGAAGAAGTGAACCGGATGGTAATGTATCACAGGATCTAAGTGTAAGACATATAGGGCAGTATACTTGGGTCAGTGCCGTTTTGTTCTTTCAGAATATCAGAGAATCACTGGTTAATACCATGCCAGCCACTAGAATGCTGGGGAGCATAAATGCCTTCCGAAGCTGGAGGACTTCTTAGATTGTATATATCCTTCAAGATACAGGGTTGGATTGGGTCATCAGTTGGAATAAGAATTTCTGTCTTAGTCCATTTTCTGTTCCTATAGCAGAATGTCAGAAACTGGACGACTTATAAAGAAAAAAAGTTTGGGCTTGCAGTTGCGGAGCCCAAGAAGTCCAGCTCTGGGTAGCTCTGTCCGGTAATGGCCCCATGCTGCAAGCACCCATGTGTGGAGGGAAAGGAGCTAAATTCCCAGAGAACCATTAATTCCTTCTCTAGGACTCTGACACGTGACTGTGGGGGACACACCCAAATCGTGGAACAATGTGAATAAGCTTACCACACTTTTCCGAATGGTGGGTAGAGCCACGTGAACTGCCACTCGTGTGGTTCAGTTGAGACAAATATCAGATTCTCACACAGCTCAGCCCAACAATCTGTTATCTGAGAACTGGCAAGAGTTGTTTTTATAATTTGCAGGGAACAAAGCATTATAAAAATGGCTGATATCTGGGGAAAGGGCAGTTTTCTTTTCAAATAAAAATAGGTATATTTCTAATGAGTGAAAAAGTGATGGGCTAGGAACTGGATTATGAATCACAAGCTGTAGAAAACAGTAATAAAAAAAGTGTGGTGCTGGCCATGATACTCCCTATGTTTTAAACCCAACCTCGAGTTACATTTTAATTAGAAAAATGAAGTCAGTCACTGCCTCTTGTGGTGGCTACTGGTCTTGTCTATACAAGGCTCTGGCTTGTTGTTGTTAAGATTTTGTTGTTTTAATTTAAACCACACTATTGCTGATACCTCGTAACACTCTGTTACTCTGATCTGTGCTCCTGCCAAAAAGGACTTAAAGCCAAGTTGAAAGCAATGTTAGAGACAAGTCTTCATTTAAACGGGCTCAATTGCAGAGATAAGCATTATTGAAGAGTTCTAGACGCTAACCTAAATCAGCTGAATTACATATTCCAAGCTCTTATAAACAGTCTTGGCATAGACTCTGCCAATGATCATGTCCCCCCCTTGCATGTAAAGTAGGCCTGGACCAATAAGAACTTTCCAGAACAACAGCCGCAAGTGCACTACAGTGACAGGTTTGGGCAGCTAATCCTCTGCTGGGCTAGTGTTATGTAAGTAACAAGTTACGTGTATCTTCTCATAAAATTGGTAAGAACTGAAGCGCTTTGTGTTCTGATTTTTGAGTGTGAATCTGATCGGCTGCAAGATCCAGCTCTGATGCAAGCTTACAGCTTCGTGTGAATACATCCTTCCTTTCTAAGTGGCTGGATCACACCTCTAAGATCCTTTACAATTTACATGTCCTTTTAGCACGGTGTGTGTGCTCTAGTTAAACACCCCAGCGCTCTGCTTACCTGATCTGTAGGTTCAGCTCTGATGTCTGGAAGTGGTTTTGGTGTGTGAGTGAGCACAGGTGCTCTGTTCTTTGGACAGATGCTGTGCAGTCCCTGGGCTTATTTTCTCTAGGGCTCCATTGTGTGCCTCCCTCGCAGCTGTAAGGGGGGCTGGTGCATGTCACTTTCAGTTGCTGCACGCAGACCTCAGAAGTGCATGGGATTTCTCTTCTCTTGTATAATTTAGCTATCCTCAATATTTTATCAGGGAACTTAGTGGCATTCCACAATTATACTGAAAGCTGCACATACAAATTATTCATTCCCGGTGCTTAGGAGAACCCTTCCCCAGACTAACCATGCTGCAACTGGCTCTTGTTGAATTCTAGCTGACACCCTCAGAGTTCCTGAAGGAGATGTCCCTCACCACGGAGCAGAAGTTGGCAAGCACACGAATTATATGTCGGCCACAGATCACTGAACTCTTAGACATGGGAGAAACAACACATCAAAAGGTACATCAAAACCTGGAGGGATGGCTCTGTGATTACAGAGGACCCAGGTTCAGGTCCCCCATCAGACAGTTCTTACTGCCTCTTACTGTCCGCTCCAGGAGATCTAATGCCCTCTTCTGGCCTCTAGAGGCATTGCACCCATGTGTATAACACCACAACACGTAATTAAAAATCAAAACACAATCTTTTAAAAAGCACACCAAGGTGAGCATAGGCCACATAAATGCTCACAGTAATAGATGCTAAATAGAAAGCAGTGTTTCTAGGCTAGCCAATCCCCTAGGGGGCGGCTTGGCCACTTCTTTCGTGTGTGTTGATCTCTGTGGCCTGGTGACGTCACTACAGTTAATACAGGCAAACCTCACTTAAAGTCACTTTTGACTCATTCTCCTCCCTATTTAGTTACTTCTGACCAGTATTTGATACAACTGTTTACAGGGTGAGAGGAATTCTAAAAATGTTATCAGCCAAGCCCAATTAAGCCCTCTCCTTGGTGTCCCACGCTGTCCTTCCTCCCTGAACTGCCCACGAGTGAAGAGGGAGAGGGGGAATGCAGGCATTTGCTAGCTGGCTTTGGCCCATTTCCAAGAAACTTTTAGCCTTAAAATAGCAATGGTTCACATTGCTGTGTTCTAGTGTCAGCTACATGTTCTTGGCTTTGGGAGCGAATACTTTTAACCCCACAGATATTTTCCTTCATGCTTGTCTGGCATTAAATGATGCTCACAGAAGTTGGAGCGTCGGCTTGACCCTCCCCCTGCAGACATGCTAACAATCCGGTCCGCACGCTCAGACTGTGAACTCTTCATTCATGCTCAGTATTTTCTTAGACATGGCTGAGTTTTTCCTATGTAACTGTGTTCTTGTTTTATCTGCAGGAGGTTTATCTGAGCCGTTTTTCATGTTCTTCTGAGTTCTTTCCCTTTAGGAACATCAATTATGGATGTGTTGGGCCTTCCTTGTCTGCCCTGCTGCTCTGACTTCTCCGCTCTAACCCACTTTGAACTTTGTGTTCATCTGTTTTATTGACATGACACTGAACAGGCTGTCCTCTGTGTCCCTTCCTTTGCGTTATGTGTCTGTCTCTCTTAAGTGCAGCCCAGCAGATGCTGGTCATCTCTAATCAACCGAAGCCTTGTCTTTTCTGAATCTTGTAATCCATCAGGGTCCAAGTGATCCTACTGATTTGTGGAATCTTTCTTCTTTCCTTGAAACTGCTTTCTCTCCTAAATTCAGTCCTAGATCAGGGCCTCCTAAACATTGTTTTTTGACATATGACCCCCCCCTTTTTAATTTATTTATTTATTAAAGATTTCTGTCTCTTCCCCACAGCCACCTCCCATTTCCCTCCCCCTCCCCCAATCAAGTCCCCCTCCCTCGTCAGCCCAAAGAGCAATCAGGGTTCCCTGCCCTGTGGGAAGTCCAAGGACCACCCACCTCCATCCAGGTCTAGTAAGGTGAGCATCCAAACTGCCTAGGCTCCCACAAAGCCAATACGTGCAGTAGGATCAAAAACCCATTGCCATTGTTCTTGAGTTCTCAGTAGTCCTCATTGTCCACTAT